CGATTTAGTTCATTTCCAATCTCGCTTCTCAAATCATACTGCCGTTCCTAATATTAATGTAGGCAATCATTCTATTTCTACCACTGTAGAAGCACGCAACCTAAGGGGTATCTTTGACGATCATCTAACTATGTCTAGCCAAGTGAATAACTTATTTAGTACGGCTTCATTAGCGATCAGAAATATTGTTAGAATTAGAAAGTATCCTCATCAATCGAGCACAGAGTGCTTAGTTTATTCTTTGGTAAAATCAAGACTTGATTACTGCAACAGTCTTTTCATTGGTTTACCTGCGAAACAATTAAGTAAGGCGCAAAGACTGCAAAATTCCGCAGCTTGACTAGGAACTAGAAAAAAGCACAGGGAGCATATCACTCCAGTTCTTCGCTAATCGCACTGATTGCCTATCAACAAGCGAAAAGTGTTTAAGTCTTACTCACAGCATTTAAAGTTAGCAATGGCCATGGGCCATCATATTTAAGTACTTTATTAGAGAATTATACTCCTAAGCGCGATTTACGTTCAGCATCAAAAAGGCTTTTGAGAGTACCTAAGTCTTTCACTTCCATGTAAGGTGACAGCTTTCTCTATCGCTGCGCCTAAGCTTTGGAAAATTCTTCCTGAAACAATTAAGGCTAGATGCGCACTAAGAACGGTAATCAAATTAAATAGCGAGCTTTAGCAGCCATGTTTTTGAGATACCTACAACAGCCAGAAGATTAGAATTCTGTTCCTTAGTGATCAAGTTGAATATATTACGTAACAGGAAATGAAAACTACTGAGTAGAGAAACCATACACGGGCCATTTGCTTCTATTTAACTCATGTTTTAAATATTTCCTTCGCCAAATGACGCACACGCACAGCACATCGAGATCAGGCAGTAAGATGAGTTAGATGCTGGTGTCTCAGTGTTATCAAAGGGTTTTACTCACGGCAATTTATCAGAGACACGTTGAGAAAAAAAAATCATTAACACCATCGTCATCATTATGGTCGTTATGGGATGCCCATCATGATATTGAATTTAGAACACGAAAAGATTTTTTTGTCGATTTTTTATGACTCGAACAACGTTTACTTTGGTTAACACATGACACGAGCTGTTCGTAGTCTATCTAGAAGCAGTGGCAATTTTCACTCCCAACCCTAGAAACATTTTTTGCGTCACCAGAGTCACTGAGCAACGTTCCAACAAGGCAGGTCCGATTCCTCTGAAATATTCATACCACTGATGAAAACTCAGCATGATATTTTCATTAGAGTTTTTCGATTATTCTTCGCACTGAGCAGTATTTTAACAAAACAGTCTCTTCAAATCAAATATTCAGTCTAACAGTTATTGCCTCTTTTTTGCTCAACTTTAGGTTGAGTTATTTTAATTTTATATCTTTCACATTCTAAAAGAAAAAGACATTATCCGTAATGACTGACATGGGAACTACGAAAATGATCATGAGTGCTTCTCAGTTGTCAAAACACTGCGGAAATATTTGTATAAATGCGTATCAAGGGTTATCTTGACTGTCAATGGAAAATGTATACATTTGAGGAGCTGTTTTGTTCTTACTAGCTTCATGCTAAGTGGATCTTTTTTTAATCCTTGCAGATATGATTATATGGTGGTAACCTAATGTATATTCTGCCTGTAATTCGATGTCGAAATAAAAAGCAAAAAAAAATGATTACTAATCTGCAATAGAAAAGAGTCAGTGAAAATGAGCCAGAAGTAAGTTGAAGAATATGTACAGGAGTAATGTGCTCTATTTCTTCGATGTTATTGTACGAAAACTACCGAGCAGAATGACATTTATTGTCGTTGCAAATTTGAAATTTACTACGTGAGGTAAGATCCTAGAATATTTTCCATTAAACCTATTACAATATTCATCTCTCGCGTCTGCACATATTTTTATCACTATTGATGGATCGGCACCATTTGAGTTTGATGTAGCGTTGTTATCTTGATCTAGACTTACCAGAGCTCATTTCTGATAACGTAATGATGCCCAATGAGTGACAGCAGAGCTAAAGAAACCTAAAGGAACACCAGTAGATTGGTTTAATTACATGAACTCCATCTTTCCTAATCATGATAGAAAAAGTTTTGATTTCATGGTGAAATTAATTATTGAGAAATATTTGCCTAGCAGGAAGAAGGAACTACTTTAATTAAAACTCATAAACTTCATTACCATAATCAATATTTTACATAAAAACGCCTCAAAAGGTTATGAAATCCTCAGCTCACCAATGACGATCTGTTTTCCAACAATGCACCCAAGCAATTCTATTCAGACGGTGAAGAAAACAGTCCCTCACCGCGAGATATCCAGAACTATCTAAACGAGCTATCTTTTCAAGTTTCGATCTCTTCGCGAAACACCCAAATGATGTTATCAGGTCTTGCTTGGATGATTTTAGCGTACAGCGTGTGGAAGTCAGTGGCAGACGGCACAAATCATACGGAAACAAGTATTGCATTTTTATTTGATTTTTGTAGCGATTCGGTCACGGTCTTCTTCGCTTCTTATTCTTGCTTTGTAACACTAAGGGAAATACTGGTCGCTAAAAGTAATTTAGACTTTGTGGGAGACATCTCAAATATCTTTATCTCTGAACATCCTGTGGTTTTTTTTATGATAACCAGCATCTGTGTTCTGAGGATCAAATGACACTCCAGCACAGTTTTTCTTTAACTCCACTCTCAAATATACAAAAAATTCTTTAATTAAAAAGTAAAAAGAATGACAAGCTACTGATTGCCGTTTTTATAAATGATATAACTTACTAAAACCTTTTAGCGAAGACATTTCTTAAAGGAATTAATTAATCACAGACAATTGTGAATTCTATTAATGATAGGACCTTCGAAACATAAAATTTAATCGCCTCAGCAAGTGAAAAGTTGATCATTTTTTTCTCGTCTAGATTGTCATTAGGCATCACATATCACTTTTTTTGCAAAGAAATGGTGTTTATTGGGGGAAAACAAATTTGTTCTTATCCACAGGTTCACAATTAAGCCTCCCTACAAAAGTGGTTTTCACTTTCGCCTCGTCTGTAACCTTCCTGGTGTCTCTGATTGGAAACTCTCTGGTGATCTACATTGTAATCAAAAACCAAACCATGAGAACATCCACCAACTGTCTAATAGTGAGCTTAGCTATAAGTGATGTTTTGATTACTATGATTCAGGCTCCCTCACTGATTGTAAACCTTTNATACTAATGTAATGACCATTTCACTCAGAAAAATTTTAAAATGATATGCTTTTCCAACGCTGACACCAGCAGTACCTCGAATTAGGACAATGCAGCCATATTTATCTTACATTTATTCGATCAGTTTTAAATTATGTAGAGAACTTTGAAAATTTGATCGGCGCCCTTGATAGTGTTTGAAAATTTAAATTTTTGGCTCATTCATCACCAGCTGAGTGACAATTCAATGTCGACATAATGATGGACGTCTTTCTTAGTTTAAATAACTGTTATGAGGTTCATAAGAGAACCTTTTAACTTTTCACAAATGGATCAAAATCAAAACTTAAATCCATTTGACTTAGTGATAATCAGACTAGCCAGAGTATCTACAAAAATTTTCTTTCGAAAAAGCATTAATATTCAAGACTGCAATTATAAGAAAACCGATAAAATCTAGTTCTCTTTGTCATCTAAGTCGTTATTATCCCAGAAATGTAAATAAATGAAATTGAGTCAAAAGCAGACCACTAGTCAGTTAATCAGAAGTACAAATCATACGCAAAACGGCATTTCTCTGTTCATTTGAGTTCTCATTCTCCCGGTAGACTGAAGCAATATGCTGACATATAAGCTTTGGTGTCATGTTGTTTGCCCAGTTCTCGTTTGCTACGTGTGGGTGACATCTGCAGAGCCTGCCGAGGATAATTTATCAAGCCTCAACGATACAAATCTACAGAAAAGTAAGTTTTCCCTTGTTCTTTTGCGGTAGACAGATATAGGAACAGAGAAAAAAAAATACGGCGAGCCAGACTGACTTGCATCCAATTCCATAGAAACCTGTAATGTGGCTTCGTTTAAAGGGTGGACATTTTGGGTAGAACGTCACCGTTAAAAGCGATTATGTTGCATGAGTTTTCATCATAAACGAATGATTCCAACCGGTCCTGCAGCGTTAAAATTTCTTATCGCAAAATAATGATTTTTTCTATTAATAAGTCAAAGACGTATGAAGTTCATAGTTTACAGGACTTGAGCTTTAAGTATCCCGAATATCTCATCAGCGACTTACTTCAGCTTTTCAGCGAAAACTATTCTGGACACGCTGTTCATCTAGAGGAAGGCAAGCGCACAATTAGTTTTTCACTCCCATTCGTTAAAGTTTCATGAGCAGTAATAAGTGATAGACTGCCAGTATTCTATTTCTTCAATATTTACATAACAGAACGGGGAAAATGTAATTTCCTGTGAGTCCCATTAATTGCATTTTAC